TTTTATTCTCTTACTCTTCAAAGTGCAGCTGCTTTTTTACATCAAGAATGTTTACAGGAAAAAGTGGAATCTGGAGCGATGCTACTTAAAAATGGAGCCAATGTTAGTATTATGCAGTGATTTACTAAAATTTTTGTTTTGAAAATACAGATTCCATGTGCTACAGATTCTTTGTTGATTAATGGAAAATAACATGAAAGTTTTGTATTTCTTACGGTCTATTAAAAAATAGTAATTTTAACATAGAAAATATCAGTAAAAGATTTATTAACTTTTTAATTAAATGTATTATTTTCGTAATTTGGATATTTTCTCTTAGAATACTAATTTATATAGTAATATTTTACTAACTTTATATTGTACAATTTTGTAGTTTATTATTATTTTATTTAATTCAGTAATTAATATTTTTAGAAAGACTTATGATCAGTTAGTGTTAAAATAAAAAAAAATTAAAAAAATTTTAATCAATTAAAAATAGTATTCTTAAAAACATGAAGCATAACTAGTAAGAAAACAAAAAAATTCTGTTTGAAATATTTCTTTAAAATTGTATAGTTCTGAAGTGTAAAAGTTTTGAATAACTTGTTAAAAAAATAATCAATATTCTGAGTTATATGATGAATTTCAAAATGCAATTTTCGATAGCTTATCTGATAATTTATACATATTTATATTTTTTTAAATTTTTAATATCACTTATAAATATATATTATATTATAGATTAAAGCAATTCAAATATATTATGATTTTATACATATTATTTTTAGATAAATGCTTTGGATGAAGACAATCAAACTCCATTGCATTATGCATGTTATGCTGGAAATGTCGCTAAGGTAGAATTACTTTTAAAAATGGGTGCTGATGTACATATTTCTCAAAATGGGAGAACGCTTTTACATGAAATGTTCCTGCAAGATAAAGTGGAATGTGCAGAGATATTACTGAAATATGGAGCAAATGTAAGTACTGTGAAGAGATTTACTAATTTTTTTATATTAAAATATTTTGCTTTTAAAATACAGATGCCACTCATTACAAATTCTTTGTCATTACTGTGGAAGTTACCAAAATTTCAGATTGACTGTGACCGAAGAGAAAAAAAAAATTATGAAATTATTTTTAAATTATAGTTTCTTATAAAGATTTTTTTCTAACTTAACTTGTGATTTTCAGATAAATGCTGTAGATGAAAGTAATGAAACTCCTTTACATGGTGCTTGTTATAAAGGAAATGCTGCTTGCACAGAATTTCTTCTTATGATGGGTGCTGATGTTCATACTCCTCAAAGTCCATCTACACCTTTGGATACAGCATGCCAGCAGGATAAAGTAAAATGTGCAGAAATTTTAATTAAATATGGAGCAAATGTAAGTACTTTGAAGAGATTTGTTAATTTTTTATGTGGAAATATTTTGGTTTGAAAATATTCTTTCTGTTAGGGATTCTTCATAATTACTGTAAAAGATAAAAAATAGTAATAATAATAATAGGATTAGTTATGGACTACACAAAAAAAAGTACTTGTATGGAAATTTATGAAAATTCAATTTATATATATATATATATATATATATATGCATATATATATATATATATATATATATATATATATATATATATATATAATACAAATTGAATATTAGATTCATTTTTTAATAATCAAAAAATAGCATTCAATATGTTCATTTGCATGCTCAAACAATTATAAGTCGCACTACATTTTTCATTTGCTATACAAAAAAAAAAAAAAAAAAAAAAAATTAGTGTGCGAGATTGTTGTAAAAAAGAAAGGATATATTTAATAGGTATAATTTTGTGTATAAACATCTTAAAATAAATTTTCATGTTTTCCTTTTAAAGTTCTGTGCAGCTATTATTTATACATTTATTATGTATTAAATCTGATGTATAATTGTTAATTTTTGGCTACAGCCATACCATGCTGAATATACCTGTTCTCGTTCGATCACCAAAGTCAAGCATCATCAGGCGCGATCAGCACTTGGGAGGGGTGACCACTTGGGAACCGTGCATGCTGTTAACATTCAAAATTTGGGGCCTGAATGGCCGAGTGGATAGCGCTCGGTACCACAAGTTTCAAATTCAAGTCCCGGTGGTGCCATGATTGTTTGTAGTGGTCCACTTTAAACTGTAGGTACCAGTCTAACATGACTGGCGTTGGGCGTACAACCCTACCTTGGACTGACAACCCTACCCCGTAAAAAGACATCTCATGTTTCGAAATCTGCTTGTAGGCAGATGGCCTTTTTCCACCATGGGGCTGTTGTGCCAATCATGATGATGAATTATTAATTTAATCTTCCAAATTGATAAATTATAATGCTACTTTAGTGTTAACCTCCAGATATCTCCTCCATTTTTTGAAAAACAAAAAAAGTAATAATAATAATTGCATTTCTTGACAGTACCATAAGTTGAAGCTAGAATTGCTGATGTGCACGTCTGTTGATGTGAATTATTTGATAATGTAGATTGGCAATTTCGATTGAAAAGTACTGATGTGTATGTGTTTGCCAGTTGGGTCAAAGCTCTACTGCTATTAAACTTAAACAAAATTTTTGCTGAGTAATCACATTTGACTTGACTTGAGTAGGTGCTTTAAGATTTATCTCATTTAAAATTTCCATCTCTGACCTAAACATCAAAAACCTATTTAGAAAAATTAATATCTATATTAGTTTATTATAGCATTTTTTAGTGTAGAATAATTTCTCTTATAATATCAAATTAAATAATATTTTACAAGCATTATATGTGATTGTAAAATCATGCAATTAATTTTTGTTCTAGCACTCGATGCATTTCTGGAGTGTTTATTGCATATTGATTATGGAAATGTGCAAAATATTTTTCCAGTATGTATTTCTCTTTTTCTTTTAGTTCTTAAAAGAAAATTTTTGTTCTTCCCTCCCAATTGAACATTTCAGTTATTTTCAGATATCATTGAATAGGCAATTAATCTTTTATGGAAGTTTAAAAGCTTTATATAAATTTCTTATTAAGACGTAAACATTTACAATGAAATTTTTAATCAACTAGTAGTCTAGTATCGAATAGTCTTTTAAAAACACCAAAGCATAATTTAAATAAAGAGAAAGGAAATAGTGTTTAAATGATTTTTCCATATAACACAGTGCTGAACTATGTAAATTTTATGAATAATTTGCTTAAAAAATAATCAATATTTTGAATATCTTTTGAATAATTATGACACATTTCATTATGACATTAATGAGATTAGAAGTGCTTTCGAAAATATGTGGATTTCAGAGTGATAATAATATGATATGATTACCAGAGTAATAGATATTATGATTACCTTCATAAGAATAATACATTTATAATTTTTAATTCCCAAAACCAAGAACTAATGGTGATAAGTTAAAATTGAATATTATCTTAATTCTATATTTTGTTTTGTATCTGTAGCTTTTTGAAAATTTATGATGAAAAATTAGATTTTGTGTTATATATTTAATATGAGGGGGTAAGTATTAAATGTAGCTATTTAAAACTTTCTTTATTTTTTTGTTCGATTAACTTGATAGGGCATAATTTAGTGTAATAATCAGGTTTTCATATACAATAAATTTACTGAGCTATAATAAAGAAATACTAAGTTTTGACTAATAATTTTATATTTAGAATGCGAATGCTATGTGAGAATTCCATTGAAGCTATCAAAATCCTAAGTCTTCGGAAGTAAAAGAAATGTAAAGAAAAAAAATAAGATATAAAAGAAATAAAATATTCATCTTATTTTCAATTGTATAAAAATAAGATGAATATTTTTAAAAATTTAATTTGACACTTTTTTATATTTGTTAAATTCCCTAAAAGTTCTGATATCAGTTATAATTATAAATGTATATATATATATTTTGATTTCTATGTATGTAATTTTCAGATAAATCCTTTGAATGGAGGAGTTACTCCTTTGCTTTTTGCGTGTTTCAATGGAAGCATTTCCTGTATGGATTTGCTTTTAAAAATGGGTGCTAATGTTCGTATTCCTCCAGGGTTGACAACACCTTTGCATGTAGCATGCAAAGAGGATAAAGTAGAATGTGCGGAGATGCTAATAAAATATGGAGTGAATGTAAGTATTATGTAGACATTACAAAATTTTATGTCGAAATACTATGGCTTAAAATGAAGATTCTTTCTGCTAGACTCGTTGTATTTATTGCAGGGGAAAAAAAATGTAGAATTAATAACTGAACTAAAACAATATACTTCTAAGAAGTTTTTTAAAATACAACTTTTTGTTTACTATTTTTCTAGCCTTATGAGCAATTAAAAAAGAGATTGCTTTGAAGAAAAATGTCGCCCTTTTTTTTTTTTTTTGTAATATTGGAAATTGAATGCATTTTTTTATGATCAAGAAAGCAACATTCAATATTATTCATCAATCTGCTCAAACAAATATATTATTCCTATTACATTTTTTTTTTTTTTTTTTAGAACTGCTAGTCTGTTATGACTTTGGAAAGGAGGGTAGAGTTTAATAAATATGCTTTTTCATATATATATATATATATATATATATATATATATATATATATATATGCTTATTGATATATATATATATATATATATATGTATATATATATATATGCTATATGATATATATATATGTATATATATATATATATATATATATATATATATATATATATGTATGTATATATATATATATGCTTATTGATATATGTATATATATATATATATATATATATATATATATATATATATTGCTTATATATATATATATATATATGGATATATATATATATATATATATATGCTTATTCCTATGATATATATATATATATATATATATATTTGCTTATTGATATATATATATATATATATATATATATTATTATATATATATGCTTATATATATTATATATATATATATATATATATATATATGCTTATTGATATATATATATATATATATGCTTATTGATATATATATATATATATATATGCTTATTGATATATATATATATATATATATGCTTATTGATATATATATATATATATATATATATATATATATATATATGCTTGATATTGATATGATATATATATATGATATATATATATATATTGATATATATATGGATATATATATATATATATTGATATATATATATATATATATATGGATATATATATATATATATATGTATTATATAATATATATATATATATTTTTATTTTTATATATATATATATATATATGCTTATTGATATATATATATATATATATATATATATATATGCTTATTGATATATATAAAAAAATGTATAATGTTTTCATTTTAAAACTACACAGGCATTATTTATATATTTATCCAGTATAAAAGTAAAATAAATAGTGTTGAAATGATTTTTTAAAAAATTGTGTTGATTCAAAATATATTATGTTCTGAATAACTGGCTTTAAAAATATGAATTTTCTTAGTTTTGTAATGAATTAGGTCAATTCCAAGAAAATCAGATACAATAACTTATATAGTAAAATGTTCATATAGTTTATTTAAAAATAAGTATCTTTAGGCAAGCAATTCATCTTTTAAGGAAGGCTTATAAATACTTTAAATCAATTTCCTTTAAAAAACAATAACATGTTTTCAATGAAATTTTAATCAACAATGAAGAATTTAAGAGGGAAAAAAAAACATGTGTAACTTAATTAAAAGGAAAACAAATACTGTAAAGTATTTTTAAAAAAAAAAGTGTTTTAATGCCAAAGTTTGTGAATGCTGTAAATACCTTGTTTTAAAAATGGGATCCATCTTAGTTATGTTATGAATCTAAAATTCCACTTTCTAAAGTGTGTCTTGATATCTTTTATAAAAGTCTTGGAACTTTTTGTAAAATTATACTTTGATGTTATTTGGATTAGATATCACAATGGTGGCAAAGTATTGAAAGATTTTTTGACAAAAGGGAAACATCTCCAGTAACTTTTAATTCTGAGAAGCAAATAGTTGGTGATTGCATTGAAATTGCTTTTATTTGTATTTAATATTATATTATTAAAAACTGAGGTGTTTGAAATGTCTCGATGTGACAGAGAAAATCAGAATATAGATTCAGAATCAAAATTTTTCATATTGAAATTAGTTTAAAATAAATGCCATAAAGGAAATCCAATTCCTTATGTTTGAGTTTTAAAATGGCATGCAAGAATTCCTTCACATTTTTTTGAAATCCCATGTTTTATGAGCATTTATATATATATATATATTTGTTGAGAAATATTTGCTAATACAACTTTTTTTTTGGTTCATATAATTCTAGATTTTTACATTAGCTGAGGATGAAAAAAAATATTTACTTAAAAAAATAAACTCTGAATTATTTTTTCCAAAACTGTTTTTATTTTTAAGGTCTTTAATTTTTAGGTGTATTGTTGTCATCATTATTTTTAAACATGACTTCATGACTTTTTAACTTGCAATTTACATAAACTTTTAAGTTGTTAGTTTATATAGTTATGATTTATATGTATATTATTTTCAGATAAATGCTGTAGATTCTTGGGATAAAACTCCAGTGCATTATGCATTTGAAAATGGTTCTGTTGCTTGTGTAGAATTGTTTTTAAAAATGGGTGCTGATGTAGGTATGTATTCATAAAATTAATTTTCTTCAAATTGTTACAAAAAAAAAGTAAATTTACATTGCATTCTAAATTTTATTCACTGAATTAATTATTAAACTGATAATGTCCATATTTGCTTTTAGTATTAAAAAATGTGTACAAAGGATTTGTGATATGTAGAAGGGAAGAAGGGTTATTATTTTTTAAAATAAATATGTGTAGTCATAGTAAATCAATAATTAAGTAAATTTTTTAATGAAGAATATAAAAAAGTTTTACAAAATAATTAATAAATTATTTAAAGTTTTTAAAAAGTTTTATAATTTGCATTTTTGACTTTTGATGAATGGAACATCAACTTTTTAATGTTACTTTTTCTTTTTATTAACATTTATT